CGGCTGCGGCGGCGGGGGGTTTTGAAGCCGCCCAGCCCCACCCAGGAAACGCGCGCGGGCGGGGGCGGCTCCCTGGGGGAGGGCATGGGGGGGCCGCGCCACCCTCATCCCGCGCGTGGGCGGGCTCCGAGGGGGGTCCCTGAGGCCCTGGGGGGAGGGGGTGGGCACCCTGCTCCGCCCCGCCGAGGGGTTGCTGCCTCCTGGTGGCCGAGCGCTACCCAGGCGGTCCACCGACACTCGCAGGCTTTGAGGGCTGTGGAGGGGTCACCGAGCGCATGGCGACCGGGGGGAGGGACCGATCAGAGGAGGGTCACGGGGTACAGGGGATCCCCGGAGGAGAGTGGGGGCAGTGGAGCAGAGGGCGGGGAGAGCAAGGGGCGCATCTGGAGTCGGGAGGGGCGAGAGGTTGAGGCAGCGAGATGAGGACGCTGCTCTGTCACAAGACAGGGAAGGAGGGTGTGGTGGGATCTCCCGGGGCCATCAGCAGCGAAGGTCAGGCAGGCCGAAACTGTGAGAATTGCGCTTCTTTACTGAGTGCTGAGTGCCGGCTGCTCGGCGGCCTCTCACCCCCGTGTGGCCGCCCATTTTACAGCTGGGGAAACAGGATGCCAGAGTGGCAGTCGCAGGCGTGGAGGTCCCAGCCCGGGGAGGCAGTGCCTGCCTCGACTGGGCCTGGTCTGGCTGTGCCCAGAGCCCACCTCTTGACACTGGGCCTTCCTGCCCCGCGGTGGGGGTCCCGGGGTGTGGAGAGGGACTGGCTGGCAGCCGGCAGGACCCCTCAGCATTCCACACCATAGCGGTCGAAGTGGCGCAGAAGCAGGCCCACCTCAAGGTGCACGGTCCCACCGGCGGCCGTGTGCAGGCGGTAGCGGTCTGCCCCGCTGTAGATGGCATCCCCATGCAGCAGCTGAGGGCCGCCGCCCACAAAGGCCCGGGCCAGCTGCTCCCGCCAGCTGCCCAGGGGCCGCCACGTGGGGCAGTCCAGCCGATGAGTCCCCGGGCTGCTGGGCACATGGCAGAAGCCGTAGCCGGCGAGCTGGCAGCGGCCAAAGCTGTCCTGGGACCACACCTGCAGGTGAAGCCGGGGCCAGCCTGCAGGACGGGAGGGGAGGTGGTGAGGAGGGGGAGGGACAGCCTGGCCTGCTCCCAGAGACCCCAGGCTCTGTGCCTTCTCGGGGTTTCTGAACTCCCGTCCCGACACTGCAGCCAAAGCGATCTTTCCAAATCCATGTTCCTCCCTTGCTCAAAACCCTTCCTGGCTCCCCAGTTCCCTCTGAATAAAGTCCAGTCTCCTCAGCATTCACGGCCCTCCGGGTCTGGCCTCTACTGGCTGTCCCGTCGCCTCCTCTGCATCCCCGTGTCAGGGCAAACAAGCCTACGTGCGTCCCTCTTGCTGCCCCGGCCCTGCCCTGCCCTCCTCTGGGCTCAGGCCTTTCAGAGCGTTGACTCTCCCATTCGCCTTCCACCTGGCAGCTGGACGCATCCTTGGCCCCTCCCTGAGGTTCCCGGTGTCCTCAACATACAGTCTGGCTCTTCCGCCTCCAGGCGAGGCCCTGGGAGCCGTTCGCATTCCCCTGCCTGCCGCAGGCCCTCCCAGAAGCAGCAGGCTGCTGTGAGCCGCTGTGAACGGAGCAGACAAGTTCCCCTGGCCAGCTGGCACCCTAGACGACTGTGGCGCATGAGCAGATTATAGGGTATGTCAGATGGTGATAACTGCTCTGGAAAAAAGGCTGGGCCGGGTGGGGGTGGGGTGCAGCTTTAGAAAGAGGGTGATCCAGAAAAGCTTCTCTGAGAAAGTGACACTTGCGCGCGTGTTGAAGGAGAGAAGAGGGGCCACGCGCACCCCGGGAACCGCTGCGCAGAGGCCTGCGGTGGGCACACGGGCAGCCGGCGTGTCTGGGGCAGTAGTGGCAGTCAGGTTGTGCAGGCCAGGGGTCACGTGAGGGCTGGGCTTCTCCGCTGCTCACGGAGGGTCTGAATGGGGCGAACATTTGATGTGATTCGGGTGTTCACAGCCCCCCCCCCGCCCCCAGGTGAGGATGGGGTGGGGTGACTGTGATGGTCCAGGAGAGGATCTGGGCCTTGGAAGAAAAGTTACAGGATTCAGGGTGCATTTCCAAAAGGAGAGCCCGTGGGGTTCCCTGATGGACACAATGGAGGGTTGAGAACGGAGGCGGCAAGGATCAGGGTCTGTGTCGAAGGGCCGAGAGGACAGTTAACTGCCTCAGCCTCTAATCCCTCACCCACGGGCAGCCGAGGGTCTTTTCAGATTGCCATCAGTGGCCTGCTCTTGCTCCCCAGCGCCCTCAGGACAGGCCTCAGCTCTGTGGCTGGCACTCGGGGTCTGAATGACCCCCACACCCCCCCACCCCCCGCCAGCCCCCTCATCCTTCAATCTTGGGCCTCCAAATGCCCTGACTGACTTTCTCCCTTGAACCTTCCACTCACTGTCGGTGAGTCTCTAAAGTCACCCAGTCCTCACCCTGGTCCCGCCCTCCCTGCTCTCTAGCCCTGACCCCTGCCCTGGTCCCCCACCTTCTGGACCAGGGCCTCCGTTCAGCCTCTCCAGGGCCAGGCTCAGCCAGGAAAAAGGGACTCGAAGGAAATGGGGAGCAGAGCTAGGACTTGTGTGGAGCCCCAGCAGCTCTGGGTGCTACTAGCCCGCCTTCCCCTCAGTCTGGTCTCAGTCTGGGACGCGAGCTGGAACCTACCTTGGAGACCTTTGGTGGCGAAGTGCAGGTCGATGGGGTGGGACCAGTAGGCCATGTCCCCGATCTGGGGGGTGTCCACCTGCGTTTGGCCTTCCCGCAGGCCTGACAGGAGCTTCCACGCAGCCCCTGCAGTGAGAACCAGGACACGCACGTCTGGGGGGAGGGGTGGCAGGCAGCTTTCCCGCAGGGGATGCCTCGGTGGAGGTGGACCTGTCTCTCCTTGGCAGTTGGAAGCCAGAGTGGGCTGTGGAGCCAAACTCCTGGGTTCAGCTCCTGGGACGACGACTTGCTGCGCAGCCTTGGGCAAGTTCCCTGCCTCAGTCTCCTCATCTGTGAAATGGGTATGATGATAGTAATGCCGTAGGTGTGATGTAGGCTTTCTAGTTGGGGTCTGAGAGCTGTCGATCCCAGTCCTCCCAGAGAAGGTCTTGGTGTTCCTTGCTTTTATCTGCTGTCATGAGGAGGAGGACAGTGGGGCTCACTGTACATGTAAGGTAGCATGTGTTGCTGAGGGGATCTCGGCACAAATTGGGTGAGTATGGGCCAAGCACTGAAAAGCTGCTGGAGCACTTGCCACATCGAACAAGTCCCCGTGACAGGACAGGCTGGTCACTGACAGGGTCAGACTGGCACTGGGCCCCCTGTCAACCTCTCTGGACAACATACCACAAGGTGCTCTATAAAAGTAAAGGCCACCCCTAGCCCCCTGGAATGGCTCTCTCAGGTACAAGTCAGTCTCCGGCAGGCCCCAGGCCCGGCTGAAGTTGCTAATGTGCATGGAAACCAAACCCACAAAACTGAACAACACCCAAAAGAACCTAAGAGAAGGAGTTTTCTAGTTTTTTTTTTGTTTGTTTGTTTTTTTCCTAAGACCTCCATGGTCTTCATCACTGGGGAAGAGAGTTTACCCCAATGGTATCTTTTTTTTTTTTGGATGGGGATGCAAATCAAATGACTGCTCCAGAAACTCTCCTTGTGTCTGGCTGTGCTGGCTTTCAGAGTTTTTCTTTGAACTATTCTTCAGGAGTAAATAATCTGTATCTTGGGAAGCTAGAAAAAGGCATATTGGTTTGAGTTGCTATTTGGATTATTAGGATAATGGCCAGATAAGGATGCTTTGAATTGGAAAAACTGTATTTGACAAGTTTGTTTATTTGTTTGTTTTTAAGAATTCCTTAGCAGTTAGTATTTGGGTACCTACAGGAACAGGAAAGGAAAAAAAGGAAGTGGAAGCTGGTTTAAATTTAAGGCTTTTCTTTTCACTACCTTAGCAGGGATTCTGGAGCCTGGAGTGACAATATCCTTTGCACCCCCTTGGGTCCATGATAATGTCCAATACTGTCAGAAATATTTTCTGTTCATCTGGCTGAAATGTGACAAGTATCTGAAATTAACTCCATGATCAGAAATTGGGCTAAAGGCGAAATGATAATCAGACACCACAGGGATTTTTGAAGTTGTTCTGACTTTCTCCCTTAAGCTAAATGTCACGGGAGATAAAATACTCTCCACTTAGCAATATCAGAAATAGGAATCTAGAGATAGTGTCAGTCCCAGGCATTATCTTAAATGTACCTCTCTCCTGGACAGGCAATCTTCAGAGAGACATAACACAGAAAACAAGAGAAAAAAACAGGAAGGGGGTGGGGGTGGGGAGAGCCCTTTTAACCCTTCAGAGGCTGCTATGAAAATCACAACCCAGGTATGTGTGGTACTTTTCAAAGATGCCCTGAGCCACCTACTCGGGCTTTTGATTTGGAAGTACCCACGACTGTTGCCTAAGACTCACCCACAGTCCCGCACGGGACTGCTTGTCAAAGGGTCCAGTTGCTCTTTTTAAAACATGAGTTTTTACATTGTAAAGACACACGGCCACACATTTTTTTAAGTGTCTGTTTCTATCTGATTGTTTGTATATGGGGTGTGTCTCCCCTTGGGTGTTCTGTATGTGACATTTCCCCCTCTGGATGGCATTACTGAAGTTAATGTGTAAGTGGGCTTGATTATAAGTATTTATAAAAGTTACTTCCAAACACTGTCGGACAACTGGAATGAGCCCAAATGCTTTTATTTGAATTCATGGGCTCTGGAATAACTTTTGGTAAATGAAAGCAAGTTTCAAATCGATGGCTTCATTGAAAACAAAGCTGTCTTTAGAGTTAGAACATTCAATATCGTGCTTTTATTCTCTCTGGGTTTATTAATCAAAATAAACTCAGATTTCTTGAACATTTATTTGTAAGTTTTCCAATCTGATACTGGTATATCCATTTACAACTGCTTTCTGGTTAGTTTTCGGTAGAAATGAAGATTTCTAAGGGTTAAAAACTGGAATTAATGTATGTAATTAAAGCTAATGGAAATAACTGGAAAAAAGGATCTCTGCAAGCAAAGAAATAAGGTATGTGTTTTCTGTAAGGGAAGGTGTAAGGAATAGAGCTGAGTTTTTAATTGGGGGAAGAATATAAATTTTGTTCTTAAGAAAAACAGGTACTTTGGGAAGGGAAATAGGAAAGTAAAAAATTGTGGAGGGGAAAAGGAGCCTTTCTCTCAGAGAAACCTGCCTCTGCAGCAGGGCACACAACTAGGGACAGAAAGTCTGCTCTGTGCTGTGGGTTCCCCACCCCACCAGGTGCGTCCCCTGTCTCTCTCCTTGAAGCCCATTCTTTAGCTCAGGATACGTACCCTCATTTCGCCTCATGGGTTTTAGAATCTACATCTATGTGGTTTCTCCTCATGTAATTGAATTTGTTCTCTCTCTCTCTCTCTCTCTCTCTCTCTTTTACGATTTATTTATTTATTCATACAGAACTGGGGTACAGCCAGAGGTGCAAGGGCAGTGAGAGATTCGCCAGAGACAGAGAGGGGAGCAGAACAGACTGACAGACAAAAAGTACACTGCTGAGGGGAGCAGCGGGCGGGTCAGGAGAGGTCTGCCGCGCCATGTGGGTCACCTCCCTGGCTGATGATCGAACTCAGGGTGCAGTGGCTGCAGAGGGCTTCACAGTGCTTTGGCTTAACCTGTTGCACCACCAGGGAGGGCGCAAGAATTTCATCTTTATGAGATGAGATGGTCCCTTTTGTCATTTGAAGACACCCTGCCTCCTCTCTCTCCTTGACAGCTCAGGCCCCTAAACACAAAGGAACGAGGCCTCCCTGGGAGCCCTGACAACACCTCTACCTGTAGTCCTGCTTGTTTCTTTATCTGCTTATTCATTTTCTCTCTCCTCCTGGGAGTCCAGGAAAGTAGGGATCTTCTACTCGGCTAGATCCCCTGAACCTCAAACTCAACTTCTGGCACAGAAGGTCCTCAATGTGGCACACGTGACCCTAGAAGGTGAGTGCTAATCTATCACCCAATTAAAAGACGCATCCTCTGAGAACAAAAGTCACTTACTGTTCACCCCATCAACATAGATTGAACACCTCCTGTTCAAGCCAAGCAGTGTTCTCCATGCTGGGGGTACAGTAGACCGAGATCCCTCAAACTGGGCTAGATCCAAGCTGGGATCAGTGTAAGTGCAGAGCCCAAGTCCTTTACCCAAGCCCTGTGCCCTCTGCTGGACTGAGGCCCCCAGCCCCATCCTGCTGAAATAACAAGTCTTGTTAGTTACTATTCCTTGTGGGTCAGAGGAGGGAAGCACCAAGCTCTCAGTCAGGATCTTCACACACAAAATATCCCAGCAGCCTGACAAGGACAATGATTCCATTGTACGCGTGAGGAAACCAAGGCTCCCGGACAGACCATTCCTGCCTAGGGACACAGGGCAGGTGAGAGACAGGATCCAGACTTTCCCCCCACCCCCTATTATCTACTCAACTAAAAGAACCCAAGTTCCCCAGGAATCTCAACCACCCACCTACCCACTGGTGAAATCACAAAGGACCCAGGGCTGAAGAGATGATAATGGCAGTACCCGCACTGGTTTCCCGAATGTTCCTCTGTGCTGGGCAACATCCAGGGGCCTTACCAAATAAAACCTCCTCCTGGCTTTACACAAGTCAGGCACACCCTTATAGAGCATTTACTGGGCCCGGCCCTGCTCACCTCACTTAGTCCTTGCAGTAATCCCAAGAGATAAGTATTGTAAACATTCCCATTGCAGAGACCAGAAACTGAGGCACAGACAAGTGCCCAAGGTCACATAATTAATAAGCAACAGCAGGTTTTGAACTCTGCTGTCTGCACTCTAACTCAACTCTGCTGCTGCTTCTTAGATGCTATCAGCTTCCTTTTTGTTTGTTTTTTAAAGATTTATTTACTTATGCATACAGAACTGGGGTACAGACCAGAGGCCCAGGGGCAGTGAGAGGATTCACCAGAGACAGAGCGGGGAGCAGAACAGGCAGACTGACGAAGTACACTGCTGAGGGGAGCAGCGGGCGGGTCAGGAGAGGTCTGCTACTCTTGTGGGTCACCTCCTGGTCAGGGAGCAAACTCCTGCACAGTGCTGTCACCAGCCTCACAGAGATGTGCTTTAACCCATTCCTCCCCAGGGAGGGCCCTATCAGCTTCCATTTTGGACAAGAAAACTGTGGGCTGAAGAGGTCAAGTCTGAAGACCTCCCCCTGGGGAGTAGGGTGAGTAAGATGTAGCAGCCGGGGCCCTAACCACTACACTGTACCACCGCACGATATTGCTCCTGAGTGAACACGACAATGGGGCCTCTGAGGTGTGTGTCGGGATCTACTATTTGCATTAACAAAATGGGATTCCTACCTTCTCAGAGGATTATGAATACAGGGTGGCCTTGCCTCTGTACTTCTTGAATGAAAACTTCCATTTTACACATAGTAAGAACTCAATAAATGGAGACTATTAGCAGAGAACTATTAGGGTCCAGGGCCCTCTTATGACAGTGATTAAAGTCTAAACAGTGGGGCAGCAGTTAGCTTTGAGGACTGGGATGTTTGTGGCTAGCCTGGTGTCTCCTGTTCCTAGGGACTGTGTATTCTCAGAGAGGGGGTCAGGGCCCCCCAAAGATGGGATGGTGTGAGAAGGGAACCTCAGGCTCGTGAGGCCAGACAGTGTGGCCAGGCTGGGAGTGCAGAGTGCCCATGCGGGAGGAAGATCCGGGACTGGGTGAGGGGTCAAGGCAGGCACATAACGTTCTCTAGGAGGTGGGGCAATGAATCAGGGCCCGCAATACCTGTGTGGACGCCCCACTTGCAGAAGAGGCTACTTTCCGAGAAACCGGTGGCCCCCATGATTTGCCCAATCACGTGCACCTCAGCCATGGCCCTGAGAGGGGAAAATATAATGACAGTCCTGTGAGGGAAGGGTATCATTATCTGCATGTGACGACGGACGGAGAAAGTGAGCCTCACCAAGTAGGGAGCTGTGCTGGGCCTCCAAGCTACTTTCGACAAGGCAGGGAAGGTGCAGTTTTAAGCATGATCTTAATTGCCTGCCCCAAAGCCTCCTGCAGGGAGGCTGAGCAGGGTGGCCCACTTCCTCCCGCCCAGCGCAGCGCAAGCCCCCGCCCCGGGACCACTGGCTCCACCCACAAGCATGAGGCCCCGCCTCCACGTCGGCGCCGCCAAGCTCCACGAGGCGCATGCGTCCAAGTGTAGGGCCTCCGTAGCCCCGCCCCTAGGCCGCACGTGCGTTTCCCCTACCTCGGCGCTCCTAACGGTCAGGGGGGGCGAAAGCCGCAGCCGGAGCGGCAGCTCCTGGGTCTGACCTGACCCTCTCTCGCCGGGCGCCGACTCTCCGGGCCTGGTTCGCCCCTCTCCCCGGCCTCCCCAGCAGCGAGAACCGTGGCGCCGATCCTTCCGAAGCCGCGCCCGCCGCGGGCTCCTGGGTGGTTGCCAGGGCAACAGCAGCCCCCCCACCTCGGCTTTGAGCGCCGCCAGCTGATTGGCCCTAGCGGCGCGCTCGGGGCGGGGCGGGCCGTGATGGACATTTTCTCTCCGCCACGCTCCATTTTGGGGAGCGCGCCTCTCCCGCCTGGACCTGCGGCCCCGCCATTTGGGGTGTGGCTGGGCGGCTGCCATCTTGAGTGTGGCTGAGGACCTTTGCTCGCCCTGTCGCCCAGGTACCTCTAAACACATCCATCTGTACTCCGGGCTTCCGTCCCCGCCTTCTCCCCCAAGACGCCCCCCCACCAGACGCCTTCTCCCCCAGACGCCTTCCCATTGCGGGGCCACCACTCAGATACCTGCGCCTGCACTCGGGGGGAGTCTCCCTAGTCACTAGGTGGCTCCCCTGCCTCCTAACGGGGGAGAACAGAACTCGTCCTGACAGGCTCGAGAAGGCGGGGCGGGCGGGTGTTTCCTTCCCTTTTTTAAGGGCTCCCCGGCTCCTCAGCGACCGATAAGTCCGACTTCCTTCTCAGAAACGCTGCCCACGTCTTTGCAGCCAGTGCACAGCGGGGAAAAGCATGAGAAATGAGGAACTGAAGCCTCTCTCGCTGCAGAAAATGGGGTCGTTGCGGATCGCGTCCGGCAGGCGTTCACCTTGTGCCCCGGCCAGGGCAGCGCCTGCCCCCCCGCTGGGTCGGCCCCGGAGGGGAGCTTCCTCCCCCACATTTCGGCAAAACGGGGCCTTGTGCGCTTGTCCCCCTTGTCGTTCTGGACAAAACGTGTAAAAGGACGTCTCCTGCCCTCAGTTTCGCCGAAATGACCCCTACTTTTTTTTTTTTTTAAAGATTTATTTGTTTGTACATACAGAACTGGGGTACAGGCCAGAGGCTCAGGAGCGGTGAGAGGCTTCACCAGAGACAGAGTGGGGAGCAGAACAGGCAGATCGACGAAGTACACTGCTGAGGGGAGCAGCGAGCGGGTCAGGAGAGGTCTGCCGCGCCATGTGGTCACCTCCGGGGCAGGCGGGAATCGAACTCATGCGGAAGTGGCTTTAGCTTCTTAGTGCGGTGCTTTAACCCGCTGCGCCACCAGGGAGGGCCACTGACCCCTACTTTTAATCAAAAAAAATTTTTTTTTCAAATGGCAACATTATACCTAAACTTAACAACACCGTATTTCCACGGTCGCCGGCGCTGGGTATATTGTGACTTTTCAGTGTCAGGTGAAGACAAAGCTAAGCGGTTACACAGTGTTTAGATTTCAGTTTCTGCTTAGCTGTGCGGTTAGGTAAAGGCAGTGGAGCCGAGCGTGACCAAGTGGACTTGTTAGAGGACCTATTTTCATGTATGAGAAGATGGGACTATTTGCAGTAGGAAAGTATCTGAAGAAACTACATGGGGTTTTTAAGTGGTTTTCAAAATTCAAACATACTTTAAATTGCATGTTTAGATTTATTCTTTTAATTTATACTCACCTAAGGCTGGTTTACATAGCTCTTTGCATGTTGGTAGTTCCCCCATCCAGTGCTGTTACTATAGTGTTTCCACCAGCAAAGCACCCACAGTTCACTGCCATCGTCCATCTCTCTCCTTTGTGCTTGCTCCTCCCTGTCAAAGTTCCTTCTTTTCTAAGACTGAGTAATATTCCATTTTCTTTATCCAGTAACCTATTGCTAGACACGTGAGCTACTTCTACCTGCTGGCTCGTGGGAGTATACATGAAAATGGGTAGAGAATCTGAAAGTCCTGCTTCCGTTTTTTTGGATGTATACTCCGAAGGGGAGTTGCTGGGGTCATAGGTAATTCTATTTCAAGTTTATTGAGGAACCACCTTCCTGTTTTGCATAGCGACTGTTATAATATGACACCTTTTTTCCCCCAAGATATATTTTTATTGATGCATACAAGAGCTGGGGTATAGTCCAGTGGTGAGGGGAGGGTGAGAGAATTCACCAGAAATAGAATGGGGAGTAGAACAGGAGCATCCACAGAAATACACTGCTGAGGGGAACAGCGGTGGAGTCAGGAGAGGTCAGCTGAACTCCCCCGGGGTGGCTGCAGATAGCTTCACAGTGGTGAGACAACCCTTTGTGCCCTTAGGGAGTCCCACAATATGCATGCTTTTTTCATTGAGTGGTGCATCTTGGAATTTATTCATATCAGTATGTAAAGATCTAACACATTCCTTATGCAAACTAACTTTTTTGAAATATATGTACAGCAGAGTGCACAGATTATAACTGAATTGCTAGATTAAATTTCATTAAACAGGTCTCCAAATCACAACTCTGTTCAAGAACATGACCAGCAGGATGCCCAGGATGCTTCTGAGCATAACTACTCTGGGATTCTAATTTGGATTAATTTTTTTAAAGATTTATTTTATTTACTTATGCATATAAGAAGTGGGTGTAGGCCAGAGGTGCAGGGTGGGACCAGGTGACAGGATTCACCAGAAACAGAGTGGGGAGCAGAACAGAAGGATCTACTGAAATACACTGCTGAGGGGAGCAGGGGGTGAGACAGGAAGTCTGCTGTGCCATGTGGGTCACCTCCCTGGCCGGGGATCAAACTCAGGCTGCTGTGCTGCAGATAGCTTGATAGTGCTGAGACTTAACCTATGTGCCACCACGGAGATGCAATGTGGATTAAGTTTTCCTGGCCTTATACTTTATAAATGAAATAACACAACTGATTGTGTCTGCTGTTTTTTGCTCAGCATTTTGTTTGTGGAACTATTCCACACTGTTGCATGTGGCTCTCAATATTTCTGTCTTTCCTGTGTAGTCACCTCTAACCCATGTGCTTTGGGGCATTTGCCTTTTGGTGGCCAGATGTGTCTGCATCTGGTTGGGATTGGAACTGCTTGGTGATAGGAGATGTTCAGTGACAACAGACACTGACCAACATTTGTGGTGGTTGGATCAATTTGTACTCTGCTCCTCCACCCTTCGCAAACATTTAGTGCTCTTTATCATTTGAATCATTCTGGTGGCAGTTTGATTTTAATGTGTATTTTTCCGATGACTAGTTGAGTGCCTTTTTTAATGTTCATTATTATTTTAAATTTACTCCTTTGTGAAGTTTTTCTTCGGTTATTGTATACATGTGTATATACACAAATATACATGCACACATTTTTTTACATGTTTATAAGAATATGTAAGTGTATATGTACAGAGGTTTCCCTTGCCATCTAAAAGCAGAACATTCCTATATGGTATGTTTAAAGGTCTTGAAATCCTCAAAAAAATTTCCCATATAAAATGATAGTTATAGGGCCTCCCTGGTGGCTCAGGAGTTAAGTTACCACCACTAAGGCCTGAGTTCAGTCCCTCGTCAGGAAGCTGACCCACATATGGAGCAACAGACCTCTCCTGTCTCCCCGCTGCTCCCCTCAGCAGTGGATTTCAGTAGATCTACTTGTTCTGCTTCCCACTCTAGTCTGGTGAATCCTCTCATCCCCACACATCACTGGCTTACACCCCAGTTCTTCTACACACACACACACTCTAACAGTAATAGTAGTGTTCCGTTATACACACACATATCTATTTGTACACAATGCATCTGTGTGTAGACACACACTCGTGCCTATGTCTCTACTCATTATTCATTATTTTTTAATCTGCCTGAGAACAGGAGGAATCTCTTCTATAACCAATTTAACATTTTCAACAGTGTCAATTTAGTACTATCCCAAAGCATCCTTTGATACACCGTTTACATATGTCCCCATAACATAGTTGGTCATTATCTGCCCACTATCCAGGATCATATTTTGTGTTTCATCATGTTTTTTTAGTCACCTCTAATCTAGAACAGGCCTGCTGCTCAAAAAAAAAAAATTTTTTTTTTTTGTTATTGTTTTGGTTTTCATGACACTGACATTTTTGAAAAGTATAGGCCAGCTACTTGGCTTTGTCTTGCGTTTTGTCATGATGAGATTCAGATGATGCACTCTGGGCAGGAAAACCACAGAAATGATGCCTCAGTCCCTCTCAGGGCGGATCAGGAGGCACTGATGTAAGTTTGTCCCATGACGGCGGCGTTCACTTCTGCCACCCATTTATACTTTGCCATTAATACTATTTTCCCACTTTGTAATAAACAAGTAATCCGTGGGAAGATACTTAAGACTAATAAATATCCTGTTCCTTTTTTAAGAATCTTAACATCCCTTGGGCTTCCCTGGTGGCACACGGGGTTAAAGCGCAGACGATGAAGCTGACGGTAGCCACTGCATCAGCAGTTCGATCCCCAGCCAGGGAGGTGACTCACAGGGCCCAGCAGACGTCTCCTGTCTTCCCGCTGCTCCTCTCAGCAGTGGATTTCAGTCATTCTGGCTGTTCTGCTCCCCACTCTGTCTCTGGTGGATCCTCTCAGCCACCGCACCTCTGGCCTGGACCCAGTTCTGTGTGCATAAATAAGTCTTAAAAAAAAGAAGCGTGACATCCCATAACCAGTGTTTATACACCAGGATGTGCATGATGGACCTGTCAGTAGGTTTCCGGAATGGAGCGTAGGCTCTGGGGCCGTGGAGCTTTGTGGACTCGCAGCTGTGGGGGTCAGCCACCAGCAGGGGCGGTCATACTTGATGAAGGTGACTTTGATGGTCCTGGAAGCCTCACCCGTGTACTTCAGGTACTAGGCCACCAGGGCTTTACTTGGTTCATCTGGGCCACATGACCGCGACCCACTGTCTGGGATGCCTATGCAGGTGAACTGCTTCTTGCCCAGAAGCAAAACAGGTCAACATGGCTGCTAGTGCATCTCCTGGGGCCTCCCCCCACCTGTGCTGTGATGAGGCAGGGCCCTGTCCACAGTGGGCCATGCTGTTGCCCTCTCAAGGGCCAGACTGCTGCAGGCCCTTGCACAACATGACCATGGGTACAGACAAGGGCTCCGCACTGCTGGCGCCACATCCAGAAACATTCTGTTCCTCCATCAGCGTTTCAGGCCTCCATGGATGACCCGGCTGCAGGCTGGTGTTCAGTGCTCCCGATTGTCATCCCATGGAAGGGATGACGCTGGGGAGACTGCACAGCCTGACGGCCGCCAGAGAGGTCTAGCTGGAAGTGACTGAATCTCTGGCAGGGCAAGGGAGACAAAGGGTGAAATACCTGCAGGTGAGCAGGCGCGCCCCCACCCCACAAATATGCATCAAAGGTCTGTGCAGCTGGGCACTGTGCCGGCACTGGAGGCGCACCAGTGGATACGAAAGGTCAAATCCCAGCCCTCCCGGAACTGACACCGATCGAGGATGGGTTACAGCACAAAGGACCAAAGAAAAGGAAAAAAGAAAAGGAAAGCTGTCTTTCACACTGATAAGCGACAGAACAATCAGTAAGGTCACGCGGGGGCAGCACTCCCAGATACAGTCTGCTCCCTCTGCCACTCAGCTGCCCTCCTGGGGTCCCCCTGCCTGCCAGTTGCCAGACTGCGCCCAGGGTCCTCGGACTCGCCATCTGCTCCCTCCAGGAGCAGGCCCGTGCCAGCTCCAGCTCCTGGCTCCTGGCACAGAGCCCAGGAGCAAGGGAACGTGGGCTGCCCCACGTCAGGAGGGGAGTCCTCCAGGTTGGCGGGCTGGGGCTGGGGCGATGAAGGGCTTCTGGGAGGGTGAAGCCAGTGCCCGTGGGGTGGGCTCCCTGAGGAGAGGGAGGTCTGCAGGAAGGTCAGGAACCATGGCGGTGGATGCAGGTGATAATACACGCGCCACCAGACGCTTTCAGGGTGCTCCCTTTGGGTCCCTGCTGGACACTTGTCGCCCAATGCTACCTAAGTGGTTTATACACCTAAGCAGCAGGAAGTATTGACCCCAGGTCACGGGGTCAAGTAATCTGGGTTCAGACAGAGGATGCCACTGCCCAGAGGTCACACAGCAAATGTCTCGAACATCCTGGAAAGGAATTCAGGTCCGTGGGGGTCCCAACACTGACTCCTAACGCCACCTGTATCTCGCCAGCATCTGCACGTCACGCCCCCTCCCCCCAGCCCCGCCCAGCTTCAGCATGGGCTGGCAGAGCAGGACTAGAATCCTGGGTTACCATCCAGGGCCAGCACCAGATGTCCCCTCGGCCATGTGAGCCCCTCAATTTCTTTATCTGCAAATTAGGGATAGAAATAGAGCTCCTGAGAGGAATCCACGCAAGAAGGAATATCTGCTACTGGGCCTAGCCGTGGGGTGCTTAGCGAGCAGCCGCTTTCTTCCACCGATCACCTCGCCTCTGCGTCTGCCTCCTCTGCAACAGGAGGCTTGCAGAGCGCTACTGTGGCGCATTTACCTCAACGCTAGTTACACACACTGATCTTGCTTTACAACACATGGTGGAGCGTAGGCTGGTTTTCTCAGGAAGGGGAGGCTGACAGCGGAGGGGTGCAGCCTCCAGATTACTCCAAGGAGTAACCCTTGGTACATCCGGCCTGCAGACTCACTGCAGTGAGTAACCCAGTAATCCAGGTCCAACTGACCTGTCAGCTGACTCGCTGAAATGTAGCTGTGCTCAGTGTGAAGACGGTCCTGAGCCTCCGCAAGTGGGCAGACTCGTGAACGGCCCTGCAGTGGAATATTCGGTGGCACCAGGCCTACAAGCAGCTGTCTGGGGGATCATTTGCCCAGTAGTATTTCTTCTTATCAGAGGGGCGAGCATATTCTTTGCAGTTGAGCTGAATGTGCACTTCTGTGGTGTGATGGGTTTGGGGTGTTATGGAGGTTGTCTCATAAAGGTGGTGCAAGGGTGCTGTCTGGTCCAAGGGTGTTAGGGGGGCTGTGGTGCACAGGGAGTCTTGTGGGGTCACAGATGTGGGTGCAGTAGGGGGGATGCTGGGTTGGCTTTTTTAGGCAGGTGACAGGGGGAGTGATGGGGGCTGCTTTTGTGGGAAGCCTTTGAAAGTGTGCGCCAGGCTGGGCCTTTGAATGGGGAGGCGATTAGGAGTGCGGACGTCACTTGGGATGTGTTGGTATGAAGGTTGGGGGCTCCACAGGGGTGTCTCCTGGGAACTAATGTTACCTGGGCTCAGTAGGCAAGGAGCCCCTTAAGTGGGGGTGGGCCTGCCTCAGAGGGTGGGTGTGGCCGGGGGCTTGTAGTCAGTGTGTGCAGGGCGGGGTGCAGAGGGTGTGGGCTAGAGCTAAGATGGGTCACTGAGGACACGCTGGGGGTGGGGGTGGACAGGGGCAGTTCAGGGGCAGCTTCTGATAGTCTGGAGTAAGCAACAGCGGGGTTATGGCCTGAGGGGAGAGAAGCCCAGAACTAAGTGGGTCTCAGGGCCTGGTCAGGAGCCAGACAGATGAAGGGACTTTGGACACCAAGCCGCTCCTTTCCTTTGTCCTGGCAGGGGGGCGGGGAGCAGAACAGCGGGGCTAGGGCTGGGTGGAAATGACCAACCAGGTTGTCTCTGCCCGCAGGACGCATCATCCAGTGACAGCGGCTCGGACCAGGATGGGGCGGCCTTCTCCCCCACTCCTACCCCACGACCACCTCGGCTTGGCGGTCTTCTCCATGCTGTGCTGTTTCTGGCCCCTGGGCATCATTGCCTTTTGCCTGGCCCAGGAGGTCAGTCTGTGTGTGTGGCTGGGAGGGGACTGAGGAGCAAAAAGAAACCAAAGACAAAGCAGAGGGGAATGCCTAGGGGAAGGGAAGTGAGGAGGAACCCCTTAGAAACATTCAGTGTTGCAAAAGGGGCGTTTCACAGGGGCAGCCCTGAACGTGGGGGGAAGAACCTGAGCATGCTGAAGATCTGGGGCCACTTACCCGCCCATGTCCTCATTTCCCTCGTGTCCAGTGGGAGCCACGGTGCTCCGGGGTCACTGTGCATGAGCCAGGGCAGCGGCGTGCAGTGATGCATGTGATTCTCCCAGCCACCCGGTACCCCAGTGCCCAACAGCGTACCCCTGTCCTGGGAGTATGTAAGTGAATGGATGGGTGTGTCCGTGGGGAAAGGAAGCAGGACGTGTTGAAGGTTGCCCGGATCAGCACCGTCACTGCCCTCGCAGACCACCAAGGCCTGGGCCAATGGGGACATCCGGGGCAGAGGCTGCCTCCGGCCTGGCCTTCCTGCGGGGGGTCCTGGCTATGGGGCTGGGCGTGCGCACGTACACAGCTGCCCTGGTGACCCTGGCCACCTGCCTCGCCTCCCGAGACTCGTCCTGGCCGCCCCAGCAGCCCGTGAACCCAGAGGCGGCAGCCCAGGGCAGAGTGAAGACTCGGGGGGCCGGGGAAGGGGGTGGGCGGGACAGCTGCATCCAGAACTGGGAGCCAGCTGGACCCCCCCACCCGCAGGTAAAATGTGAGATTAAACTGCAGGCACGCTCACAGCCACCGTGTGTCTGTCCGTGTGTGGGAAAGTGGGAGGGGCTGGGGGTGCCTGGGACCAGCACGGGATGGATCAGTGTCCCCAAGGTCACCCCGGCCACCCTGGAGCTGGAGAAGGCAGAGCAAAGACAGAGAAGGGGAGTCAGTCAAGAATTTGAGTTGGGCTCCCCATCTTCAGTCCTCCTCCATGAAGACACTTTTCTGAGCCTCACGTTCCTCATTTGCAAAATGGGACCCCTCTGCCCACACCCCGGAGCTGGGCGAGGACTAAAGGCGAGGGTTCTCTGGGCGAACAGCAGCCCTCCGAGCTCTTTCCGCACCAGGGCCAGGAGCAAAGCCGCCTGCTCTGTGCAACAGTCAAGTAGCGGCAGGACCGAATCAGCGGCTCAAGTGAGCGGCGGTCCGATGGCCGCCCGCCCGCACCTTCCCGTGCAGACCCCCGGTCTGGGGGAGAATGGCCCCAGCAGCTCAGGTGCGCTCTGGCGGTGCCCACCCAATGGCCCAACACGACAGAGATGGAGCTTTATGGAGTCAACACGCTGGCCCCTGGGAGGGGCCGTCCACGGGCCTGGTGTCACCTATGAGCGGATTTCGGCAGCGTCTACTCCAGCGGCCTCCGCTAGAAACGCCGCCTGCCTTCGCTGCTTCCGGACCTTCCTTCTGGCTCCCGGGGCCTGAGCGGCCCGTGCCCAGAGGAGTGACGGTGGGCTGTGGGAGCTGCACCGGGCCCGGGAGGCGGCAGCGGAGGGCAGGCCAGATGCGGCATTTTCGCGGTAGCTCCCGAATGTCAGTCACCAGTGGGCTCTGGTGCCCGTGTGGCCCAGCTGTGGGACAGCGCTTCCTTCCCGATGCTCCTGTGTTCTTGGCTTCTGCCCACCAGAGAGGGTAGCAGTTAAGTGGCAACTAAAGACCCTGCCAACCCCTCCTCCGGTTTCCAGCATCCCAGCCTCTGCCACTGCCGGTCACTGGGGACCGTGGTCCAGGGCGTGCTGCCGCCTGCCCGGGCTGTCTGGAAGCTCCAGCGGGACCCTTGCCCACACTCGCTAGGGTGACCACAGCAGCGAACCGGCTTGTGAGCCGCTTTCCTCATGTTAGAAGATCCGGCAGCAACAGCCCTGCCTCAAGGGTCACCAGCTGGTGGACGCAGGGCTCAGAGCCAGGCTCCTCTCCGTGACATTCCCTCCGCCGCCCTCACTTGCTCTGCCCCACCACACTGGGGCCTGGGCTGTCCCTCCACCCCCAGCCCCTGCCCACCGCAGGCCTCCGCCCCCACATAGCCCTAAGTCCGTGAGCTCACTCCCTGGCCACCTCCTGGTTTCCCTCGGGAGACTACAATGAATGTAAATGTGCCCTCTCCCCTGCCCCCTGCCCCGTCCCAGATCTTCCATCTGAGACACACGGTTCTCTTTGTCCCTCACCCCCTGGTTCCTTGAGCGTGGGGCCTGGGTCTCCTTCACCACTGGGCCCCACATCCTCAAGAGCTCACACGCGTGGGCGCTCGATCGGCGCTGGTCAGAACGGAGGCGCAGTGGATGGGTGCTCGTCACGGGGCTGGGGGCTGTGGTCGAGCTCTCGGGCAGGCAGGACACAGGACAGGCAGGCTAGGCGGGGCAGCGGTTTATTGGCACGGGAGCCGGGAGGTGGCGGGGCGTCAGCTCTTGGAGTAGCGCCTCTGCAGGGACTCCCGGTAGAAGCGGAAGATGTGCTGGGTGGCGGCCTGCGCCGCGGCCAGGCACTGCTGGAGCTGAGGGAGAGGCTGGTTAGTGCTGGGGCCAGGCCTGCACCCCGTGTCACCTGGCCAGCCCAAGGGGCGTGTCTGCCCCACCCAGTACCCTTCACCTCCAGCCCCCTCCTCTCAAGGTGACCCGGGTGATGCGCGGGGATTCTGAGGGCATTTCCTCCCCCACCCCTCCCCCTTCGCCTCAAGGGCCCTCTCTCTGCGGGGAAGAGAGGAACAGAAAGCGAGGTCCTCAGAGGACCCGAGTGTGGCCGCTCCGGCTCCCCGCAGGGCCAGGCGCGTCACTCCCAGAGCAAGCCCACCCTCGGGCGGTGCCATTCCCGTCGGCCACGGGCCTGTGACGCCACGGAAGCTTTCAGGCCCTGGCAGCAGAGGCGCCAGACCCGTCTGCCCACTGCCGTCCTCACAGCCGCCGCCCCTTCCTCTCCCTCCAGAGCCTCGCTGCACGTGTGAATGTCCCGTTTTGTGAGTGTTTTCTCTTGGAGTAGATCTGGGGATCTGTAGACCCCAGATCTCGACTGCCTGGTATTTCTATATTCAGAGGACCAGGCTGGGGCGGCCTGGGGCACCACTGGGCCCAGGTTTCCAATCCTCAGAGACCCGGAATCTGAGGGGCATACCACTCTGAGCCGGAGGCTGGGGGCTGCAGCCTGCAGCCCTTCCCTCATGTCAGCCTCAATTTCTTTTCCTCCAGTTCGCCACTGGGCTTCCAGTTAAAGTGCCCCCCCAGGTTTCCGCGGCTGCACTCACGCCCAGTCCCATGCTGGGTGGGCTGGTCTGTGTCGCCGGGGCTTTTGAAACCACGCAGAATGCCCAGAGAGGATTCCTTTAACCTCCCGGGGGGCTGGGAGGTCTGCTTCCCACTCCTAGGCACTGGGGCGGGGGGCTAGTGAGTGGGGGGCGCTACCTCAGTGTCGGAGTACTGTCCCTTGGTGGTGGACATGAGCAGCTTCCTTTCCACACTGTCGAGCGCGAAGGTCAGCACAGCCCGGGCCTCCTAGCATGAAGGGCAGAAGTGGGGACCAGGGCTCAACCCCAGACCTGCAGACCCAATCCTGAGCGGCCCTAGGGGAGGACTTGCTTCTCCTGCAGCCAGGGGCTCCGGCAGCAGACACAGCACGCAGCGCTGCTTCCTTACGACATGAAGGGCGGATGTGAGCAAGTTTACCCGAGGATCTGGTTTGTCCTGGGCTGGCACCTACGGTAGCTTCCAGGAGTGATCAGGCCATGAAGTGAGCATGTACTCTGCTGCTCCTGCTCCTGCTGCCCTGGGACACACCTCCACTTTCCCTTTCTTAGATTCTCTCCCGGCCCGCGCCCAGCTCCAGACACAAGGTTCTGACAGGGGCTTGCAAACACAGAAGTGGCCCCGCCCCCCCAGGCCCTGCGGGGCGGAGCCGGGGCTGGAAGGTGGCTACTTCCGGCCAGTCCTACGCGCCCCCACCCCACAGGGGCAGGCGCTGCAGCCTGGGAGGGGCAGGCTCTGGACTTCAGCAGCCAGGGTGAAGCCAGAGGGGCTCTGGGAACGCGAGCCCAGTGGCACGTCCCCACCAGCACAGAGCAGAGTTTGCTATGGGCTTCTAATCTCCGGGTACCCTTCTGCCGCGTTACACTTTCTGCTCTTCAAATACTGTCAAGGTCAGTTCCCTGCATGCAAGCTGCTTTCCTGACTAGACGTGCTGGGCAAATAAGAATAACCAGAGCCTTTGGCCACCGTGAACTCGAGCTGATGAGGCAAGTCCTCTTACCCAGCGTCAGGGGCTAGCTGCAGCCTCAGGAAGAGATGCTGACCACAGATACTGACCAGCAGCCAATATGCAGGAAAAAACCAGGGGCTGTGAAATGAAGCGAGGAAATGCCGCTGGTGTTTGAGCGCCCTGGATCTAGCTACGCCTCTGTTCTTCTTGAGTCTGGAACTGACTCAATAAACTCCTAAAGTGGGTTTGAGCTGAGTTCCTAACCTGTGCCCTGATGAAGAGTGTGGCCTGCCAGTTGGGAGGTGGTCTGAACCAACCCTTGTGGAAAAGTGAGGCCTAGAGAATGAAGACAGGGACGTCTGCTTCCAGCCCTTCGCCTCCCTGGCCTTCACACCTACCTTTTCTTGCTTGGTTGTGGGGTCCAGCATGAGGTTCCCATCAGAGTCCAGGGCACAGGTGACCCCACAGAAGAGGGCCCGCATGGGCACACCAGCATCCACCAATGCCATGCAGGCAGCGTTCAGGCAGCAGGCCAGGAGCTGAGTGCCACGGGGAATGGTTAAGAAAAGCTTCTACTGCAGGGCTGGGCTGCAGAACCTGCCCATGCTTCCATTCATGGGTCAGCTGCAGACTCACTAATCCATCACAGAAAGTGAGTATGGCACTTTATTCCAGCTGGTTCTAGAACTGAGTAGCTTGGGTTCCAGACATGACTTTGCCACCTCTGAGCTTGTTGTGACCCCACGCAAGTTATTCTCTAAGCCTCAACTGCTTCATGTGGATCACGATGGCATTCAACAGATACAAACTGAAGTGTGAGCCAAGCACCTTTGGAGAAACTGAGGGCAGGGTGGAAGAGAAATCTTATGAGTCCATGGGGAGGCAGTGGCAGAGGCAGGCCCAGAAAGACAGCTCGGAGATGGAGATGGAGAGAGCAAGCGGGAGAGAGGCTGGAGAACGTCTGGGAGTCTCGTGGGCAGCCACCAGGGAGAGGGTAGGCAGCGGCATCACTGACCTCAGGAGTCCAGAGCTGGAGTCCCACAGCGCCAGTTTCCTTAGGACTCCCCTCCCCCAGAGGATGAGGGCCTAGCTTTACAATCATCCCACCTCACTACCCACCCTCTGAAATGGGGTCACAATAGCCCTTCCCTCCTCCCAGCTACAAAGTGCTGAGCCAATGCAGAGCCACATGCCAGCACGGCCCTCTGGAATGTGCTTTCAGGGCCTCAGCCTTTCTTACCCTAACCACAGGGATCTCTCTGGGCCACACCGCCGACCCACTGCCCTGGCTGCTCAGGGCACCCCCGTGAGGGGCTCATCCAAGCTCACGGTCAGCACGGCGGTCGATGGAACACAGGCAGGCCTGTCAGTTCTGCCTCTGCTGCCTTCCAGCTGTGTGACCTCGGATAAACTGACTTCCCTCTCTGGTCTTCATTCCTCACCCGAAACACGGGAACACAGGAACACTCATTGCCAGGGGCCTTGGGCTCTAGAACCACAGGCCTGGCTTCAGGTTGAGACCTGCTCCTTCCTAGATACGAGCTGACCCTCCGGTGCCTCAGTTTTCTTTACTTGAAACCCAGGGTTATGATGACACCTATTTTTGTGTTGGGCAGACTAGTCAATCTACCTTCATAACGTTAATACATGTAAGGCGCTCAGAATGGCACCTGGCTCAGAGCATGCTCTCAGGCTGTGTTATTCTTCTTCAGTAAGCTGGTGCCTGACAAGTGTTTGGAGATCTCTTGGTTAGCAGAGAGTGTGGACAAGGCCATCAGCAAGGCAGGCTACGAGGGTTCCAGCAAAAAGGATACAGAGCCAGCATCGCTGACAACCTGCAGCACCACGGTGATAGAGGTTCGGGGGTGCAGGGCCCCCAGCACCACCGCTTCACACGTGTTCCTGATCAGCCGTTCCCGGCTCTTCTCTGCAACACCTGGGGAAATCACAGGTGAGTGGGGTGGTCAGGTTATCCCGTCCTGTCCACCCCGCCTGTCTGCTCTCCCCAAGCCCTCCAGAAAGGGCCCACGGTCTCAGCCTGCGCTTGTGTGGAATTCTGCATGGATGACGGATGACTTCCAGCAGGAAGGTGGGAGGGCCTGACTGCTACCCACCCCTGCCATCTGCAGCACCTGGCAAAGAAGCAAACGGGGGTGGGGGGGTGGGAAGAAGAATCCAGGGAAGGTACTAATGAGCCAGTTGGCCCAGTGCCCCAGGGAGGAGGAGACAGAGGATAAAAGGGTAGAAAAACAGGCTGATGGAAAGAAGGGGAGATGGAGCCAGAAGACAGAAGGGATGACTCAGCTGGAGATGAGAAAGATCTGAGGGGAGAGGAGACTGGGGGTGTCAGTGCCAAGGGGCTGGGTCAGAGACCCCAAGAGACAGCTGGGCCCAATTACCAGGCAGCCCGATCTTTGGCCTCAGGATCACTTCCAGTGTGGCCTTATTGAAGATCTCTTTGCTGACCTTCACCTCGGCTGGCCCGTACACACCGGCCAGGACAGAGGTATCTCCTGGGGAAACAGCAATGGTGGTATCACCAGTTAATTGGCCTCTGGCGCCCGAGGGGCAGCTCTTAACAGTGGGGGTGTGAGCTAGAGGCCAGGGTTCTATGTCACCCCACTCTGGCCCACTGTCATTCATGTGCACCTGCTTCACTTCCCATCTCCGTTTCCGCATCTGTAAAATGGTGCCAGTGACAGTATTTCCCTCGTGGTGCTGCGAGTTTTTAAAAGACTTAATTTATTTATGCATACAAGAGCTGGGGTGTATAGGCTAGATGTGGGGGTGAGAGGATTCACCAGAGACAGAGTGGGGAGCTGAACAAGCAGATCCATTGAAGCACACTGCTGGAGGGCAGCAGTGGGGAAACAGGAGAGGTCTGCTGCGCCCTGTGGGTCACTCCCTGGCCGGGGAATGAACTTATGCTGCAGTGGCAGCCAACAGTTTCACAGTGCTAAGACTTAACAACCCCTTGCTCCACAGGTCCCTGCTGCGAGAAATAAATGTGACAGTCATGTAAAACACTTGGGACATGGCCTGGCAAAAGCTGAGTGCATGCCGCCAGACCTTAGCTATTACCTTAGGTATTAAGGTACTCAGGTAGTTAGGTACCTTGGGTACTATCACCTTAGGTAACAGTGTATCTGGGTTCTTCCTGAGCTTGCCCTCACAATCTCTTTCAAGACTGTACTGCTCTCTAGCACGGCTGTATTTTACCATATATTAGTTACCCTTCATAAGTACACTTTGTTAGGGCGGCAGTTCATTTTTTTTAACTGCTGTACTCGCGGTGCCTAGAACAATCTTCAGCCCAAATACTCTGGGCTACCCTGTGATAGAAGGAATGAATAAAAGCAGGGTCTGTACCTGGGAAGAAGGCAATTCCTTAGTCAGGGGGCTGACGCTGTTTGGGGTCTTACACATATCTGAGAGAGCTTTTTACCTGGGTCAAGGAGCTAAATCAGGTTGAGAGGTATTTAGGGAAAAGGGCAATTAAACAATTGGTGGGGTGTATCATCCCCAAATTACAGAGTGTGTACTTGGATAAAAGTCCTATGTCTGGGAAGTAATTAAGTCGGTAGAAGAGATCCGCCAGCCTAGGAGGTATTTCGGCAAAGGCTTGCCACAGTCTGAGATACAGAGGTATATGGAGTAGGGGAGGAATGTATTCAAGGGAGACATTTACTCTACTGAATTTCTCCTTTAATTGAGTATTCTTTCTTATGGGGGGCGGGGCTCTGTCTCTCATAACGCTGAGCATCCTCTAGGGTGGGATATATAAGGTCCACCACCTTCTGGGTGGAATAACAGGCAAATGTAACCTCCTGTATCCACACCTGTTTTACCGTGGGAAGAGGAAACGTGTGTAAACTCTCATATCCACCCGATGAGAAGTTCTACACCAACCCAGGAGGGACAACTACCAGCTAGTATCGAGCAGGGCGGCCACGCCTTTGTGGGCACAACACAGCCGCGCCCCCAAATAAATACGACCTGGGTGAAGGAGACCCGGGCCGGATTTACCTGGGTTCCTACCTTGCAGGAAAGATGCAGAACCATCCGGCCGGGAAAGCAAGTTCTGTTCGCAAGCAAAATGCCGGAGGCTGCAGCCAGGGACTCGCGAAACCACCTCTGTCCCAGACTCAGGGGGCATTTTGGCGTCAGTGTGCATCACTCCTTCCATCGCACCGAACTTCACGTGCGGAGCCGACCGTAGCTTTGCCCCGGAAGCGCGCGCCTGCGTACTGGCTGGGTAGTCCGTGCGCACGCGCCGATTCGGAACGCCGGGGGCGCCAAAAGCAGCGTCCGCACGTGGCTCCGGGTTTACTAACAATCTGGTCCCGCCCATCCCGCCCCGCAAGTTCTGGGAAACCATTGGGTAGTAGAGGCGAGTGGGCGGGCCTTGGCGTGGGCTCGTCCTACCCGAGGTCCCCGGGCCCTAAATGATTGAGGCTCTGGTAAGGTTGTCCTCACCTTTGCCTGTTTCAAAAACAACTACGCTGAAAAAATCGGACTAATTATGGAGGAGCGCATTTCTTCCTCCACGTAGGTACATGTTCCAGAGACAGAGTGACTGGTACCAGGTGGTTTGTTGGCGCGGTGCTGTTCTTAGGTGAGTCAGGCACCAGCAGGGACAGCCCCCAGTCTAGCCGAGCGGGGCGGATCGCCCAGGGCAGTTAACCAAGATGGCGGTGGCAGCTGCAGCCGCGAGGGTCCGGGGGCTACGTCGAGGCCTGTGCCAGGCCGGCCTCCTGTTCCTGCGGCGGCCCGGAGCCCGGGGGTTGGCCAGATGTGTGAGTAACAGGGGCTCCGGGGAGTCCTCCCTAAGGGGGGTAGGGGTGTCATCGTTATCTTCCGAGTGTGGGGCCCGTGTCTCGGAAGCCTGACCGGGAACTGCGAGAACTACTTGGACAGGACGTTTGAGGGAAAAACCTGTTTCCTTAGAGAGGAGAAGCACAGCGGCGCCTCTGAGGGCCCTGCAGAAGGAAGGCGGTGTGGAGAGAGGGAGAGGGCTTGCCGATGTGCTCCCGGGACGAAGGCGACCTTTTATTTACCTTTTAGGATTGTGATGAAATTGAATAAAATTTTAAATTTTAAAAAGCAAGACGAGGAGCTAACAATTGGATCTGGTATGTGATAAAGGCAGTAGGGGTGTTGGCGGCTGTTGAAGGAGGAGGTGGGAGACACTGCCTTAGTGAGGGGAGAGGCTTATTTTTCTGCAGGAAGAATCAATCTCTGCCCCCCCCCCCCCGCATGGGCTTTTAATAGTGCCCAGTATTTCATTGCTCCCATCTGGTTTTAAAATCAGTTGCATAAAATAGTCATTTTCCAGGTTCCCCTCCCTCATCAAAGGCGAGGGCAAGACTGCCCGTTTTGGTCACTCTACAGAAGTGATTGTGGTGACTAATTAATGAGGAGAGGAGGAAGAAAGGCCCAGACAGGGTGCTTTGCCCGTGTTTCTGAGAAGCACTTCGTTTCTTGTCTGAGGCCTGGAATAAGGCTGAGGCTGCGAATGTGGCAGCAACAGAATGTGCTTGGGAGCCTGTGTGCAGAGGCAGAGGCCGTGGGCTGCAGACAGAAGAGTCAGCGACTGCAGCGACACAGACGCGAGAGCGGACTCCGGGCCGCTCTTCCCTACTCTGCTGCCTCCTCTGAGGACCTCATCTTCCCCCGGGAAGATGGCACTGCCACCCTCCTAGGGTGAATCTGACCGTGAAACTGGTAACATGATAAGAACTGGATACAATGAAGAGGAAGAATGTTGTGGCTGCTGAAAGTGAGCGTGGAGGGAAGAGGCAGAAACTGACCTTGGCAATGGGGAGAAGAAAGGAGGTGACCTTGGGAGAGGGCTGGATGGGTGAGGGCCCTGGAGGGAAATCTCCCAAGATCTTTGTCCCGTTGGTTCAGCTCCTCTGATCCCCAATCCTTTAGGAAGGGAAGAAGCTCCAGGTAGAGGAAGAAATAGGATGGGGGTGGGGGGTCACGGG